ATCTCCTAGGATTAGATTCTAACGAAATCTGAATAGTGATTCATTAGAAATCTTTAGGCAAGAAAATTTATCTAAAATGCCAACAACATGTTGGAGAATATAGATCAATTTTCGATAAAGATTTCTCATTTTTTAGAAATAAGTCTTAGAAAATACTATTTTCTATGCTATTCATAGATATTATATTTTACATTTTTTCAAAAATAAACATTGAAAATAAATATGAACTACCGATGATAGGATTTTTAAAAATTTCGAGTAACGATTCTTAAAATTTTTTTAAGTGAGATAGTTCTTTTTAATATCGCTAGAGTATTACAATATTTTTAGGAATTTTTTAATATAAGGTTCTTATTTATTTTTAAAGCTTGCTAAAAAATAAAAATAGGTTTTCAAAGAAAATTAAGGAAATTAATTTTTAAATACCAAAATTAAAACCATTTTAGTCAATATTAAAAGATAACATATAATTAATTGATACCATTTTAAACGGGCTCTTTAGGGGCATTACTTTTTCTTCATGTATAACCGACTCCCAAAGCTAAGCTATTTTTACAGACCGAAAAATTATCTTTGTAATAAATTTTAATTAATTTTAAATTTTATTGAAAAGGTAAGTTTTAATAGGTGGCCAATCACACCTAGCCAAAAGAGTTTGGTGGCAACTCTATTTTTTTTATTTTCAAATTCATCTAGTGATCCCCAAAACCGTTACGACACTAAAAAACTCACTAATCTTTTAAAAATCTTAGGATAATTTTGAAGTTAAGAAAAAGGGATTCAAGAAATGCAAATTTAATAAAAATAAAACATATTTTCAATATGGAAAGAAATGACATTTTATTAGAGATTGCAGAATCAAACGTGCTAGAATCAAATTTGGTTCTAATTTTGAAAACAAGGCTAATTTGGATGAATAAGAAGTCAGAATTTGTTGCGATAGTGATTGATATGCAAATTAGAATGATCACTAATATTCATATAGCTACTGCGAATAAATCATCATATTGGTGACTAGATTTTAGAGCGACAATTTATGTTTATAACAATAAAAAGTAGTTCAAGACCTATAAAGATGCAAGAAACCAAAAAAATCTTTATGGGAAATCATGTTCCTACCAATGTAATTGGAAAAGGAATAGATGAATTAAAATTCACTATAGGACATAAAATAATGTTATTTAATGTTTTTTCATGTTTGTAAAATTAGAAAGAAAATTGTACATACAATTTTATGTAAAAAAGGCTTTAAGATTATACTGAAGTCTGATAAAGTTATAATGTTAAAGAATGGTGTAATAATTGGAAATGGATATTAGAATGATAGCATGTTTAAATTTAGTATTAAATAAATATATAATATATATATATATATGATAGTTCTCATTATACTTTTGTGTATCTAATGAGATCAAAAGATAAAGTTTTTGATAAATTTAAAGAATACAAATTAGTTGTTGCAAAACAAATGGAGAAAAAAATCAAATTTCTTCAAACTGATAAGGGATAGAAATATTTTCCAAATTCATTTTCTCATTTATGTAAAAAAAATGGAATTGTTCATTAAAAGATAACCCCTTATGCCCCCTAATAAAATGCCTTAACCAAAAGAAAAATAGAACTTTAGTTGATAAGTAAATAGTATGCTATTGAATATTGTAAAAATTTTGGGAGAAACACTTCTAACACATGTCACATACATAATAGAATTCTTTCAAAAAAATTCTTAAAATTACCACATGAACTTTGGAATCATGACTGAAAATCAAATTTCAATTATTTCAAAGGGCTGAGGGAGCATTGCTTCTTATAAAGTACCCAATCTCATAAAACAAAACTTAGACCTAGAGATATTAAAAGCACTTTTGTTGGTTACGCATGGAATTCAAAAGTATATAGCCTTCTTAAATTGAATACTAATGTTATTATTAAATCTCTTTCTGTAATATTTTTTTGAAAATGAGTTTATATATGATGTTGAAATTGGAATAGATAAAGAAATTGAAATGGAGAAACAAGTTGAAATAGTTTTTATCAATGGAAATAAAAGAAAAGAAAGAAGTGATTCTATTGAATCAAGAATAAGCCAAAGGACTAGAAAAAGGAATTTTTTTTAATTCTGGTTTTGTTTCTCCTAATTCTATTATCTTCTTTGTAGAAGGAGATAAAACCAAAATGATTAATAAAACAACAATTCAACTTTGATTTAAAAAGTTATATTCTAAGCAAAACTTTGCCCAACAATCAATTTGATCCGAAAACCCTAATTGAGTCTAATATTCGCAAAAATCCAATTATCATCAACAACTAAGGTAACTATATGAATTTTTAAGCATGTCTCAAAACATGAGGCTCACCCACAAACTTCTTGTCATATAGACTTAAATATACATGTTTTCAAGCTTAAATTAAGGTTGTAAGGTCACAATAATATGTCGTAATAATGTAATATTGTTATTATGTTAAATTTATGCCATTTAGACATAACAGTATTTTTGTAATTTTGCATAACATATAGAGTTTGATTGTTATTAAGACTCTAGCATCTTGCATAATACCATATCATATATATTAGAAACCTTTATGTTATATATCATGTACTCTTGCTAGGGTTACATCACATAAAATTTGTTAAATGTTAAACATTTAATTTCAATTTGAATTCTTTGCTTTTAATTTATTTTTTTAAAAATGTTTTACTATCATGAATGATACAATATAAATTGTCATGTGCATTATGCTCAACGGTCAATAAACCATCCAAGACTATGGTTCCACTTGAATGCCTTTAAATACATGCACAAGAGTATGAGACATACAAATATGTGCGATGGCATTAAGTGAGAGAGAAACTATAATCCAAGTATCTTGATCAAGATTCAAGATAAAAAAAAAAAGAGTAAAGGTTCAATTATACTAGGCAAACTTAGGAATTTTGATTTCTCTTATATGTTTTACCTAATTTTTCAAATCAACTTCTTTAAAAAAAAAATTGTAACTTTAAAAATCGATCTTAATTCTAATATATGAATATATCCAATTACGATTCCATGATGACAACTATGTGTTGCTCATGATATCAACTTACAAGGTTAAGATTTAACTCCAAATTCTACTCTTAATTTTTTAAAAGAAAAACTATAATATCTTCTTATGCCTCACAACATTTATATAATTTAAACTTAATTATAACATATTTAGTTTATAGAATAGAATAAAAAAGGTATTGATTAATTATTCTGTGAGAATAGAAAAGGGAAGGAATAAATATTTCGTTGTTTGGTTCATGGAATAAAATAATGTAGGAATATGATTAAATTATTTGGTTGGATAATTTATTGCTAAAGACTAAGGAAAGAATAAGTTTGTAAATACCATTTTATCCTTATTTAAATTAACATTTAAAATGTAAAAATGCAACATATATATATATTTATTTTCTTACAAAATATCATTTTAACCTTGGCTATATTTGGATTAAGGGAATGTGAGGAAAAGGAAGGGAAGGGAAAGGAAAGGGAAGAAAAGCAATGAAAATAAAAAAATTTTTCCTTTGGTTTATCATTTTCATTTTAATAAAGGAAAGGAAAGGAAATTGAGTATCCCTTCTTTTCCCTCAAAAGTTTCCATTTTTAATTATCCTAAATTTGGGTAAACAAGGAGGAAAGAAAAGATTAAAAATTTTTAAATATAGAATTACTTTTATGTCCCTATTATATTTTATCAATTTTAAAAAAATATTATTATAATATTCAAGTTTAACCATTGATGCTACCTTTAAATCTTTTACAACCTAGTCCTCAATTTTTTTGTTAATAACTTCAAATTTTATATATTTTTAATTTATGCTTAGGTTTTAATTTTTTTTTATTTTGTTATGACTTTACAAATTCTAAATAATAAAAATAAAAGAACATATATAATGATAGGAAAACACTAATACTTAAACAAATTTATTGTTAATTTTATCTTAATAATAAATATTTAAATTTTTAATTTTCTCATTTATGGATTAAGTTTTGAAAAAAATATTGTAGTATAAAAATAATTCCAAACATATATTTTTTATTAATTAATTATTAAAAATATTCTTTTTAATTAAAATTATCTTTATTAATTTTCAAAAATTTTTAAAATAATTAATATCAAAATTATTCACATGATAGACAAATATTTTATTTTAAAAAGGATATAATTAGAGCAATATAATATAATATCTTCTTTCCTTTCTTTTTCACAATTTAACCAAACAAAGTTTATTATTAATAATTTCCTTTCTTTTCCATTATTTGTTTTAAATATCCAAACAAAACAATAAACTTTCCTTTCTTTTCATTTCCGTTATTAATTTCAATACTATATAAAAATAATTTCATTATAAATATTTTCATAATTTTTTAATTTTTTAAAAATAATATTTTTTATTGAAAATTTTTTAAGTATAATATATATATATATATATATATCTTCTTTCCATTACTGTTACTCTTCTTGTTCTTTTGTTTTTTCCTTGAAGAGGAACGCCCCTGCGTTTCCGTCCTCTTTCACAAAATCTCACCTTCGCCAATAGCATGCAATTTGCGATTGTAGCTATAGCTACACATGTTTCCTTTCTTCCATCTTGAACCCCTATTTCTTTTACAACTTGCTGATTCTGCTTTCTCTTATCTCTTCCTCTTCCTTGCAATCGAAATTGTTTCTTTTCTTTCATCTTGAACCCCCAAGCACAAATTACTTTATTTTCGTTGTTATTTTCAGATATGATTGCATGTTTATTAGAAAGTATATCCGATTTTGTTTGAGTTTCAAGTATAGGAATGGGTTTTTATGGTTGTATTTGGGTGGGTTTTTGGTGTGTTGGGATTTAGGTTTTCGATTTCTGGGAATAGATTAGTTGTGAGTGCTAATTATATATGGAGAATTTTACTCTGTTTTTTTTTTTTTTTTGGAAAAATTGAGCTTGGGAATTTTTTTTTCAGAAGAAGGGATAAATTTAATGGGCCTTTTTTTTTTAATTAAAAATTTAGATTGCATTTATCATACTTGAATCTGATCTTTTGCAAGAAGAACACCAATTTTGGTCGAAAAATGATGGAAAATCTGAAAATGCTACTTATTCCTTGCCATCTAGAATTGCCATTATTAAAGGAGAGTTCAGAATGTGCATTCCGTATTTTTGAAGAATAGACATTTTGTAGAATACCTCTTCTATGAACCAAACTTTTGAAAAGCTTTACACTATGAAAAAGGTGGAAATGGAATAGCCATTCCCTTCGATCAAACGTACCATTAGTAGCTAGGGATCGGAATACCCCGAGAATTGGGTTGACACCAAGCTAGACTATACTTCTCGATACTCTTATACCGTCTACGGCAGATACTTTGGACCTATGATGGGTTAAAAAGAAAAAAAAAAATTATCCATCAGACAGGACCTTAATTACTTGCTCAGTCTTAACGAAAACCTGCTTAAGAAAGATGGATGCACCTAAGTAAATATTTGCTATGTTGTAGTGGAATTCCCGTCATTTCATGATCGCTTCATTCGCTTTCCATTTTTCCTTCTTGAACAAAAAAACGTGTATTTATAAAGTAAAGCAGTAGTGACACTGTAGACTATGACATCAGGAAACCCCGAACAAACTGCAGCAGGGCATTTTGCCTGCACAATAAACAATATGGAGCTTGATCTGGGCTTCTGTTGAGAAGTACAATTGCACCAAAGCAAACATATCCGTGAAAAGCAAATTAGATCTAGAGTGAATGCCACAATCATTATTTTTTTTTACAAAAGAGATTGTACTCTTGAGAGAAGAGAAATGATTGTAGATATTAAAATTTAAAACCTATATCTGCTAGACGTTACTTTAATGGCAGTATACACTAATTGAGTTAAGCGTCGAGTTCATGCCACAACTATTTTGGTTGTTCTTACATTCTATATTGAATAACTGTTTGCTTAAAAATTCCCTTAAAATTTTGTTCACCTAGGACCTGATAACATCGAGGGTAATGCCAGTGTAGTGGTACCGGCTCTGTTACTTGGAGTTGCGATTGCTCTAGGTGCTTGCAAATTTAGAAAATCGTAACTCAAGTTGTCTTCGACAATCGAATAACCTGCAAAAGCAAGTAACACTTTCGACATGGAAGGCCTCCTATTATAATCAGGTTGCAAACACCATGCCGCAATCCTCATCATCTTTACAACTTCTGCTCCATTTGACTGCATGTCTTCACTGAATTTATCGACCAGTTCCAAAAGTTTCCCCTCCTCTACCTTCCTCGTAAAAAGTCTTAATAAGTGCATCTCTTCTTCTGGTTGAGATCTATCTATATTTCTTCGACCGCATAAGATTTCCAAGATCACAACGCCAAAGCTGTAAACATCTACTTTTTCTGTGATGGTAGCACTCGACCATTCAGGAGCCATGTAACCTGGCGTGCCTCTCATTGTCGTAAGGACTTGATTTTGGTCCCTGTCAATCAGTTTGGACAACCCGAAATCCGCAAGGCGAGCATTGAAATTTTCATCAAGAAGGATGTTTTGAGGTTTAATATCCAAGTGTAATATTTTCTGATCGCAACCATCATGAAGATAGGCTAATCCTTTTGCCACATCATGTATAATCTTTTCCCTCAATTTCCAACTAAGAGTACACACTGGGTTTCTGCTAAAGATCCATCCATCAAGTGAACCATTCTGCAAGTACTCATAAACTAGAAGCGGATGGGATTTTTCAGCACAAAATCCAATTAGTGACACCAAATTGATGTGATGAACACTTCCTAATGTCTCAACTTCAGCTAAAAATGACTTCTTCACACGATCAGTGCCATCAAGACGCTTCACTGCTATCTTAGTGCTATTAGGTAGGCTCCCATAATAAACAGAACCAAAACCTCCTTCACCAAGCTTCACACTAAAATTCTCTGTCATGGAGCACAAGTAGTCATAGGAGAATCTAGTGAATCTTAATCTTCCATACTTTTGGGGCTCCTTCTTGTCATCTTTTGAATCATTTTTATTCCGCCATAAGGAGAACATACCAACTACCACAAGTAGGATAAAAAGAATTGGTCCAAGGGTTGAGCCAAGTATAGCCTTCATGTGTCCTTTACTAGGCCTATACGCTCTGAATATTGGAGGATTTTGCACTTTTATATATGAAAAACTGTTATAATCATGCAGATTATCAACATTTCGTTTGAAGGAAAAGATTTTAGACAGAAGAAAACAATACCCAACAGAAGAATTTATTTGTTGTCGATGTATAGCAGCTTTGCATGAACAATTCTTCAAACAAGCTTCCTTGCATTTTTGTCTATTTGCATTCTCAATATGGGGTACGAAATAGAAGTAATCAAAGTCCTTAAGCTCAAGTAAGCTATGGCTATGATAATCAGAAGGCTTGCAAGAAACAGATATAGTTTCTTTACATCCGAGATCAGGATGGTTTTCAGATACCTGCCTAAAGTAAACTACAGCCGCATTGCTCTCTGCTTTTGGACAACTGCAATACCCATCTGAACAAACGCCATATTCTCCACACACCAAGGGCGAACCACATGCTCCAGTGTAGTTAATCAAAAGATCAGACACTTGCTCCCATTTTGATTCTTTCAATTGATAAGCCCTCAAATGTCCATCACTGCCTAGTTGAATGAACTGTGATGCAGATGCAGGAGAAAGCACAAAACGATCAAATCTACCATTCATATACACGACTTTGTGTTGCCCTGATTCATGTGCTTCCACTTTCAAGGGTCCAAAATAGACTTGTTGAGCATCTGGTTCAAGGAAAGCAATCAAACTATCATTTATAAGAGCTAATGAGTATAAACCTGCACTTGAATTTGTTGTTGACACACTCGCGGTCAGTTTTTGCCCAGAAACTAGTGCCTGCCCAGGAACTAATGTGTCTGTCGGGTGATCAAAAGACTGCCAGACCATCTCATTGTTTCTGCCATAAAGCACAAGGTTTCCTTTTTCAGTTAAGTTTAATCCTGAAACAAATTTCCCTGTGGTGTTTGTGTTCCAAACTAGAGTGCCATCAAGATCTTGAAGCATCAAATCCCCTTCTTCAGAGAGTTGCAGTGAAGCTCTAAATTTAACAGGATTGTTTCGGTTTGCTGACCACACTATTTTTGTAGAGGGGCTAGAATTAGAATTGGCATCAAAAGTATTGATTTGGAAGATGGAAATGGCAAAAAGGCAATTGCCTTGTAAATTGGAGCAGTGGAAGCCGCAGACAAAAGTTCCAGTGATAAGGATGGGCCTAATACCTGCTGAATCCCAGAAGCTAAAGTCAAACACAGGGACGTTAATCCAAGAGTTGGGAGGATAAGCAGCTGATGGATAGTCGACGCGATCTGCGTTGACAAAAAATGATGATGCTGAGATGAGCAAAGTTGTTAGAAATGCAGCGGCAAAACCAGTATTCCGTCTAATAGCCATCGCTTAGCCTCCAGCTTCCCTTAGAATTCTTTTTAAATGAAATTTCAAGGATCAAAACCAAGGCAGATTTTTCAAATAAGCAAGTGTTGGTAGTTGCTATAAAACAAGTTTCAGGTTAAACTAGTTCTAGTTCCAATATACAAACACAAGAAAAAAAAAAAAAAAACCTTTGAGAAAGAGAGAACGAAAACTGTTTCTATGCTTTTTTTCGGATAAGAAGAACTCAATTCTGCACATGTAAAAAGAAAATGAGGAAGGATAATCGCCTTCAACGTGGAAAGTTGACTTTGAATGGTCAATCGTGGAAATGGGTCCGCCAAAGTAAACGTGAGAAAAGTAAAAGGGTCCGGACGGTTGGTCAGAAAAGTAAAAGGGTCCATTGACCGGTCCATGGTTGCTTTGGTTATCGGAGAAATTATTTATATATTAATGGAGCTTTCTAATTTTATAAGTGAGATTAAAAATTTTATATATTTTTTTATTTTTGAATTAATTTTTGAATATATTTTAAGAGGTTGATATATCTTATTAATTTTGTGAAATTAAAAAAACTGTATTATTAATATATTTGATCATTTCTCTTGTTATTGATCAAATTTTGGTTTAGTGGTGATTTTTTTTTTTTTTAAGTTCATGTTAGTTAAGAGTCATAGTAATTTCAAACTTTTTTATTCTTTACCATAATTTGAATATTCTATATGCCCCAATAAAGAAAAAAAAATAGTCTGTGAATCAGGTTTGATCTGTATTTTTAAATTGATATAAAATTTTGTTTTCATTTTTAAATTTTATGTGAATTTTAATATATGTTACTATTAATATTAATATAATAATATTTTTAAAACATAAATTAATTATCATTAGTAGAATATTGATTTATTAACAAACAACTCATGTGTTATATTATATTTCAATTAATTTTAACAAAATTAAATTAATTTTAATATTTTCAAGCCTTAAAAATAATATATTAATTAATACTCTTAACTTAAATAATAAAAATTAAATTAAATTATAACTTACTATTTAAAATATATTATAAAACATAAAAAAATTATTTTTAATGTTCCTCTAAGTCAATCTTTTATGAACGCGGATTGGCAAGATTACTGCAGATGGGTTTCTTGGTGATTGCAAGGGAAAGTTCGGCTACAACGCAAGTCAAAGATAGCCATTTCTTTTCTTTCTAAGTTAAACCATGACTTGAAGATGGCCATGTTTTCTGTGAACAACAATAACGTCTAAAAACGTTGCAGTGACTAACTTGACCTTTGAAGGAAGCCACCTTGACTAACTAATAATATGGCATATTAATTTCTATCCTAACAGTTTAGTTTTGATTTAAAAAGTAAAATTTAAAGTAATCATATGTTTAAAAATAAATTATTTTTAGTAATTGATTAAATTTAAATAAATATATTAATATTTATTTAAAAAGTTTGACAAATTTTTATTTTATTCACTGATAAGGTGTAGTCATATGATTGATTGATAATATATATTTTCTCCATCTCAAATTGTTTGTGTATTATTGACTTTCATGAAGCTAAGAAAAGAATTTTGATTTTAATTAATTTAATATTAAAATTTGATTTTTTATAAAATTAAAGTTTTATGATTTTTTATGTCAAAAAATAAAAAATCATAAATTTTTTTTAAAAATATAAAATGTAAGAGTTTAAATGTTCAAAAAATAAAAAGAACATAATTTTAGCACATCCCAAAAAGAAAAAATGAAGAAATAATACTTATACATTATCAGTACATCAAATATTAATTCATAAAAATCAAAAGTCGCATGATATGTTAGCAGAGTATTGAACTCTCAATTATGATTTTACTTTTCTTCCTGTGTTTATTATCCAACAATTTAGTAAAAAGAAAGTTAAAGATTGAAAATACTTTTGAATTATAATTTAATAATCATTTAAGTTTTTAACATTTTATTGCAATCAATTAAACATATAATTCAAAAGTATTTTCGACCATAATTCAACAATTATTTAAGTTCTTAACATTTTATTACAATTAATCAAACTTATAATTTTGTATTTCAACTCAATTGAACTCATGAAGTGATGAAATTTAGTCAAATGGCAAAATTTAGTTAATCAATATCTAAACTACATTTAATTGAACTCTTAGAGTACGTTTGGTTCGAAGAAAATTAGATTACTGGTTGAAATCTTACTTTTCATAATGTTATTTTTTAATTTGGTTCACAAAATCTAATTTCTTAATTTTCTAAGAGTCCCAATAATGTCAACAAGGGTGAAACTAGGTTTTTTTACTTTGGAGTGGCCGCTATAAAAATAAGGTGAATTGATAAAAATCTAATAAAGAAAATTAATGTTAAATATAATAATAATAATAATAATAATAATAATAATGTAATTAAATAAAAAAAGTATAAATTTCTTTTTACAATTAAAAAAAATTTGTTGAATATTTATAGAACAATTAAAATCTAACTAATAATTTTTTTAAAAAAATAAAGAATTAATTGAAAAAAATTTTTCATTTTAAAAAATTAAAAAATTCAATGAAATAATAATTATTACATTAAAAAGGGTAAACTTTTTATTGAAAAAGAAAAAAATTAAATCATTTATTGCATCTGTAAGTAAAAATTTTATTAACTTATGAAATTTATTGTATGATTACAATTGTTCTTAAAAGAATGGCTAAATTATTAATTTGGGGGGGGGGGATGTTGATTTTACCAAATTTTGAATGAAATTATGCCCTTCCTATAGAGATTTTGAGGTACCAAAAAGGGGCCAAGGCTTTTGCCAACCCCTTTTAAATTTGCCTTTAAGTGTCAAAAAATAGGGAGGATGATAGTTTTGAATAAAAAAACCCATATTTCCTTGAGGTTTTTTAAGATTCTTAGTGAAATGTAAAATTTGTCCCATTTTTTAATTCAATGATAATATTTTATGGTCTATTTTGTCCTTGAAAATCAACATAATTACATAATAAATTGAGATCAATTCTAACACACAAAGTTACATTTTTAACCATATGATTGGGCAAAACTGCATTGTTAGCCATATGATTAGACACCTAGCAATAATCATGTACATTTGAATTTTTATAAATTTAAATATTTGTATTCAATTGATAAAGTTTTAGAAAAATAATGCTTTTGACTTATGAACGTAGATAAAAGATGTATAAAAGAGAATTTTAATAAATAAAAAATTTGCATTTACACAACTTGTTATTTTAGAAATGTAGTAATATATTATAATATGTTATGAAAAAAAATAATTATAACAAAAACAATTTTTTTTTTAAAGAAAAATGTAGTAGATTGTTTCAAAATTAGAATTTTGAATTTTTTTTCTAGTTTCAAAAGTACTACGTTTTTAACATATGAAATGTAGTTAATCGTAAAATAATAATAACAACATAAATTTTATATTTTTAATATCAATGGCATTTTATAGTATGAAAACATAATAATTGATACAACATAACTTTTTGATATAAAAATATAGTTATTGTTGGTAAAGTCAGTATAATATAATATTTTATTTTGCTTTTAACTACATTTTGTATATAAAAAACATAGTAATTGATAAAACTAAATTTTAATTTATATTTCATTATATCAATGATTACTTTTTTGTTATGGAAACGTAATCATTTATAAACCGTAGTAATTAATCATTTGGAACTAATAATGCTTCTAAGATAGAAAACACAATCTTTGTTAAAAATATGAAAAAAAAATTTTTATAATTCAATAAAGACAATATTTCTAAAATAGAAAACGTATCTTTGTTAATAATATGAAAAAATATATTTTTTAAAATTCAACAAAAGATGACATTTTAAAGATAAAAAACATAATCTTTGTTGAAAGATAACATTTCTAAGATAGAAAACATAATTTTTATTGAAAAGATAACATTTCTAAAATAAAAATACAATTTTTATTGAAAATATGAAAAAATATATTTTTCATAATTCAATAAAAATGATATTTCTAAAATAGAAAACACATTCTTTATTGAAAAAGATGATGTTTCTAAGATAAAAATGTAATATTTGTTGAAAATATGAAAAAATATAAAATATAAAACATCTTTATTTAATATTCATAATTCAGAGCCATTCATAGAATCGAAGTTGGAAATGGGCTTAATAAGTTTCTTTTTCTTAAATGATCTTTTATTGGAACATCTTTCAATAGTATTCCATTTGAAAATAGTGTTGACCTATCTCATCAAGAAGGCATAATAAAAGTCACTAGTTTACAATATCTCTCTCTCTTAAATTATAATAGCACTCATAATATTTAAACCACATGTTCCCTTTTGTGCATTATGATGGAATCCATATCTTTATTCCTAAAAGGAAACAATTATGAAGTTTGTCTTAAGGGGAACCAGTCCATTATTTCAACATTCAACCCCTTATGCTTGTTGAAATAGTTAGTTATTTTCAAAATGTGCTCACAAAAACCTCGTACCTTATCAACATAGTAGTGGTAAACAACTTTATGTGTTTTTATATTTCAGTATTATAAAACTTCTTTTAAATTATAATAGCATTCATAATATTTAAACCACATGTTCCCTTCTGTGCATTATAATAGAATCCATATCTTTATTCCTAAAAGGAAACAATTTTAAAGTTTGCCTTAGAGGGAACTGGTCCATTATTTCAACATTCAACCCCTTAAGCTTGTTGAAATAATTAGTTATTTTCAAAATGTGCTCACAAAAACCTCATACCTTATCAACATGGTAATAGTAAACAACCTTATGTGCTTTGATATTTCAATATTATAAAACTTTATAAACTAACTCTTAATGGCTTCCATAATTATCAATGTGGATAACATTCTATTTGATACATACATTAATGGTATACCTCATTATCATTAGATAATACTTATTAAAGTATTTTTAGAATGCACACTATCCTTTTTGTCTTTAATCATGCTCTCATAAGTGTGTATAGAAGGTAATCTACTCTTAATGCTATTTCCTAAATCATTATGCCTAAAACCATAAAGAATGATACATATCATTTATCAAAATTGATCATATTAGATGATAGTTGTAAAGATAAAACTGGAATTAGAAGCTTCATAGAATAACTCAAATAATATTAAACATGTCAAATAGAATCAAGCAATAAAAGTAATTCTATTAATTTCAAAATTCAAAAATTTTTGGAACATACAACAAAGGATAA